GTTTCCCAGAAAACAAAACTAACATCAACCAGAATGCCAGTAATGCACACATTCAGCATCAGCAGCGTAACAGCAGCAGCGGGAGGGAATGTATGGCAAAGCAAATTCAGCACCATTCTTTTGAGAGCAATAAAAAAAGTTATATCAAAATAAGAAACAGTGAGTCTTTTTTCTGTGCAGGAAGGCTAAAAATGAGTCCCCCGACTTATAACCTATTGTTCTCCAAAATAACTCTCGCATTTGCTGACGCGGCGAAAAGAAAAGACACAAACACGGAGATAAACTTTATATTTACGGCTTTCCTTTTGTCGTCTTCCATCATTATTATTATACTTTTTATAAACCCAGAATGGGATACTGTGCAGCTTATGAAACGAACGTTGCAGGGCTTTGCTGAATCATAATTCTAACCAGAAGAAAAAAATCCTTTCTGTGTGTGACGGAAACATAAAGCAAAGAATGAGGGGGAAAAATAGTTCATGCTTTTGTTTTGTACTTTGGATTTATCCAGTTTTCTGCCTCATCCTTCTTAATCCAAAGTCGAGCCACAAAGAGAAGAGAGCATGAAACAGAACAATGGGTTTAGTGTGTGAACTGAAAAAAAAACACACACACACACACACGTAAAAAGAAAGAAAGGGTCTAAAATGTGTTAAGGAAAGTGCTTAAAACTGACATAAAATAAAGTGAATTTTACCAATGATGTACTTATAAACATCAGATGTGATGTTATAAGTTAGATTCTCCTGAATAATTAAAAAAATGTAACTAATGCATCTAATCTGGATTAAGAAGAAAAATAATTAGAGCATAAAACTAAGATGTGTTAATAGGGGAGAAGGGTAGTCGCAGGGCTGTTTGGTATCGGGGTGAGTACTACACTGAACGTAGAAAGCTGAGGACAGAGTCGTATCAGGAGACAGCAAAAGTGAGAACGTGTTTTTCCTGGCGATGGGGGTGGTACGAACCTAAATCACTGCAAGCAACCAGAGTTTTTGTGTTTGAGTAAGACCTTAACAACGGATGCACTTTAGGGATAAAGGAGCGCAACGTCCAGGTAAATAACAAGCATCAGACTCCCTTTCATCCCTGGCAGCGAGTGAAGAGGTAAATGTGTAAAACTACAACATTTAAGAATGACGAAAGTTTTGTAACCGTTTGTTACAAATCAGCAGATGTGTTTTGTCCTCACGGGCTCCTGTAGAAGATAACATGGCATTGCCCAGAGACTTGGACACACTCCAATGTATTTTAGACCCAATTTTTTGTAGTTATGTTATGAAGTTGCTAATAATTTCAAAAACTGGGCATCGGTTAACTCATTTTAAACAACATTTCGATGGATTTTTCCAGAGATGAACGGTAAAAGCTACACATTTTAACTTGAAAGTCAATTAGATAGTTTTAGGTGAATTTTCAGGTTTCAGATGATTTCAGTGTTTCTGTCTTTCTTCATCCAGAGGGTACCAACAGTTTTATCCATGCCTGAAACATAAAAGACATCACCTCTGCCTGGTCGAGGTCTCGGCCCGTTATCTCCCGAGTCTCGTTACAGTTGCAGACACAAACATGAGGAAACAGAGATGTTTACTCCTGTAATGGGGTCTGCTGAGACAAAAGAAATCACAACGCAGGGATCAAGCTTTCATGGTAAGAGTAAAGATCTCCGTTGGCATCTTGTTCACTTTTTTTTCTTACTTTGAAGCACCATTTCAGATCATTTCTAATGAATGAGGCTGACGGCCTCCTTTGCTTTAAAGGAAGCACCTGGAAGAATAAACAAACATTAAAAATAAACAAATTCAACACTTGATATATTGGTCATATATTCAGATGATGATTTAGAGGATTTAGGACAAAAAAAACAATACATATTATTGAACGTGTTTGATTGGAAGGTAATGAGTTTGTTTCACCAGCGTGGAACCATCATCAGAGGGTTTCTGACTGAGATCGTTATCAAATGTATTGACAGAAAGGGATTAAACAGAGAAAACAGGTTAAGCTCACTGCCAACAAAAGCAATAACAAGTTGTTGTGAGGAGGGCTTCTGCCTGTCTGTCATTCTTCAAACAACACTAATCAGTAACTCTCACATGACTGTAGGCAGAAACTAGCAGCCTGACACGATAAAGCTGTAATCCGCAGCTCAGATCTTTGATTAGAATCTCAAAAATATGCTAATAGGTTTCATTCCTACATGTCGGTAAGAGGCGGTACGTCTAAACATTAGGAACACATAATACTAAACACCAAATAAATAACTGGATGTATCCATGCTGTAATAAACACAAACAGCTGTGTTTAAAATGCCCTTCATCCCAGCAGCATCCCTCGCCACGCTCTTAGGCCGACCTATATGGATCAGAAATCTCTGTTTGGATTGATTTCAGATCATGTTGAAGTTCTCTGCACCAACAAACATAAGGACAAGGCTGACAGTCAATAAATCAACCTCATGTTAAATTCATGCACACCTCAACCAATGTTTTCCCACCTGCACCTACAGTGTTAAGTTCAGGTAGCAGCAGCAGCTGAGACTATTTGAGGGGTGTGTTCAGTTTTAACATAAAACATGGAAAAGATCATTTAGCCATTGTTTGAATGTTTTTGATGTTTGATTTTCTGTAAGTCTGTTTTAATGTAAAGATTACAAACTGTGTAAAAAAAATCCTAGAACTTTCTAAATGCAGCAGCCCACTTTCTAACAGGGATGGAAATCCCATCACACCTCTGCTCACCTCCTAACACCACCGTCCTGACCAGTTCAGGATCCCGATTCAATTTCGTTGCTCATTTTCCGGTCTTATTGGTTTGGCACCATCTAATCTGTCAGAGCTTTTCCATCATCACACTCCTGCCAAAGCTCTGATATCCCTACATCAGCTAATTTCTTACATTCCCAGATCTAGTCTCAAAATTAAAGATGGCAGAACATTTTCTGCAGTGATCCTTAATCTGTAGAGCAGCCTACCTCTGGAAGTCACAGCAGCTCAAACCATCAATCATTCTTAAATATTTGCTTAAAGCTGTTGGGTTCATTTTCTCTGGCATACTGTATTTTAAATACAAACATTTTCATTTAGCTTTTAAAATACCTCCTATTTTATTTTGGGGGAGACTTTAGTCTGAAGTTAATGGTTTTTCCCCAAATCCAAGCATAATTTTCACAGTCTTTTTACCTTCACACCTTTAAAATGATCCCAACTAATATTTATTGCTTGAAAGCAAGATGAACTGTTTCATAAACTGTTTTTATCCTAAAGTAATTGTGGCCATAAATTCCTTATGAATGTCCCTTCTATCCATTAGAAGCACAAACTAAACCAAGGCAATAGTAATTTTATTATTTAATGTAGATATCTTGTTGTAATCCCAGCAACCACAGTAGACCAAGTCTGTCAGCACCATGGACAGCTCTAACATCAGCCACAGTAGACTAGTTGTTTCAGCACCATGGATAGCACCAATATAAGCCACAGTACGCAGTTGTTTCAGCACCATGGATAGCACCATACTCAGCCACAGTACGCAGTTGTTTCAGCACCATGGATAGCACCATAATCAGCCACGGTACACCAGTTATTTCAGCAACTTAGACAGCACCAACTTCAGCCACAGTAGTCACTATAGGGCCTTACATGGACAAGCATCATCACACATCGGTGATCTTCTTAGTCCCTACACCCCAAGCAGGTCCCTGAGGTCTAGTGACCAAAGCCTACTGGTTGTGCAGCACCAGACTAAAGACCAAAGGTGACGTATCATTTGCTGCTGTGGCCCCCAGACTCTGGAACTCTCTCCCTCTGAGCCTGAGAGCAGTGGACTCAGTGGTCTCCTTCAAAAAGCAGCTGAAAACTCACCTGTTCAAGCTGGTTTTGTATGACCTTCATCACCCTCTCCTTTTTCTGCTCTCCCAACCTATTCCACCTTCCTCAGGATCCACTGACTTCCCTCTTTCTTATTCACTCTCTCTCTTTCTTTACATTTTTAATCACAATTGTGTACTTTTCTCATTTAAAACATATTTTAATAATTTTCGAATTAATGCCTTGTATGTCGTTCTATGGGGGACAAAAGCTCTGGCGGACCTGTTTGAGGATGGAGAAGTGTGCTGGAGGAGAGAGTGGTAACATACGGCAGGATTTGAAGCCTTACTTCCTGATACTTGGACAGCTCACCGTTGATTGGCTAACATCAACACAAGTCTAACACCAACTCCATTGGCTTTGCAATATTGATGTTTATTTTGGCGGAAGCTCTCTGCAGGGCGAGGCAAATGAGGGATTAGTTTGTTCCTGTTAGAGAAATGTGCACAACACACACACACACACACACACACACACACACACACACACACACACACACACACACACACACACACACGCACGCACGCACACGCACACGCACACGCACACGCACACACACACACACCTGTTTCCTGGAGGGGAATTGTTTTGCAACACTCCCATGTGCTTGTCTCCTAACCCAAGCTGATATGTCATGAACTTGGCTCGAGTCTTTTGGCACCACGGTCAGCGCCAACAGCAGCTACACTAAACCAAGTCTTTCAGAACCATGGACAGGTCCACCTCTTCCTGTGATTTGAGCAAAGTATTCTAAAAATAGCCAGCAGAGGTCAACAAGGAGGAATTTATAACACAAAATCCTAAATCCTCTGGATTTAAGCAGCACTGCTCCAGATAAACGATGAGGACAGCAAACATTCACTAATAATGTTTGTTTTATATGATTTCCACCATTTGACCTTTTGTTTCCCATAAAATGCCAGCTTCCCTCCAAACAACGAGCTGCCATTTTTACCAAGACATCAAACAGCCACATGTCTAAAAAGACGTAACAGAAACGTCATCCACTGGCAGATGAACCCGCCAATTGATGCAATGACGCATCAAAGTTTGACAACTTTATCTGCGTTTCGACCTCAAACGAGCGTTTCTGATTTAACTCTTTAAAAACAGGAGGCGGGAGTTTCTTACATCCTCGTCCTCGCAGTGCCTCCGGTACCGGTTCTGGTTCCGGGGTTGCTGGCTCTCCGCCGCCCTCTCCCCCTCGCCAGCTTTCCTGAGCAGCTGACTCGCCTCCGGAGGGTTGGGGAACGACGTGTTAGTGTTGATCTTGCCGGTAAACCTCTGATACATTGATGCCATGTCGTCAGAAAAGCAAGAGTAATGCGCTTAAAAGGAAAGTTATGGGTCAGCCTGGGTTGATTTAAAAGAAAAATTAAAAAGGTGTTGCTTTAGTTCTGATGAGGAACGGAAAAAAAGACTCCTGGACTCGTTTGGAGATTCACATCACGCACTTCTCCGGGTTCCTTCTTAACGATCCTCTCGCGACGCACTTTGCACACTTTTCCGGACTTTGCGGTTCAAGCGCAAACCGGTACGAGTTGGAGCTGAGAGGAGAACGCAACCTGGATCCAAATGACACGGAAAGCGAGCTGGCGGATGTCCCGCATCCCTTTCCCTCCCCCGTGGCAGAGAAAAAAGTCGCTGCTGATGAGGGGCTAATCGGGTTTGTTCGGAGCAGATGTTTACAAACCGCTGGAAACGACCCAACCTGTCACCAATTAAATAATAAAGAGTTCACCTTAAACTCATCCCGACTTGGCTCTCTAGTGGAGCTTAAATATCAAGTTTGGTCTTTTTATTTTGCACCATGTGGGTCAGTGGATGTGTCATTTAGAGAGCAACAGTGCCCCCGTGTGGAAGAGCACGCGCACAACATCTCCCAAAGGAACTATTCCGACTGTAAAACAGGTTTAATCTGAGATTACTCAGATTCCAATCCTGACGTTTAGCTTTTTCACCTTTCAAGAGCTTTTTTAAATGAAAAAGCGACTTTTAAACAAATGTGGCCGTTTCCTCACGGTATTCCTAAAAGCCTCGCTATACCAGTGGGGGGCTGTATGTGGCTCTTTGTAACTATTTCCCTAAATAATGAAGTATATTTATTGTTATTATAGTTTTACAATTGCATAATTATTTGTTTAATTTCCAACTGTATGCAATCGTGGGACTTTAATATTTGGGACAGTGCATTTTTCACAGAAATTTGATCCAAAAACCTACAATTATGGTTTTATTTTAATTCTCACTTAAATAAATTAACATGTTTAGGTTTTCTTATTAAATGTTTGTGGATTTTAAAGGAATTAGTCACACCGTTTGCATATTTTAGGTGTTTTATTTCATAAAAGAGCTAAAAACTGGAAAATACTCTTCCTAACAGATATTTACACCTTTTCTATAATAACATGAACATGTCAGCAATGCTTTATACTTCTTTTATTTCAAAATGTAACAAGATAGAGTTGTGTGCTTTTCATATAAAACTGAATAGGTTCTCTTTATTCCAAGCTTCAGGAGTGTTTTTTCAGCTTTGCACACATTTATTTTAGTGTTATAATGACATGTGGAGAAAAATAAACAATAATTATATTTCCTTTTTTCACAGAATCAAAGACTGTTTCAATAAATACATTTACTGATCTGCATGAGCAATAAAAGCAAGACTTTAATCACTGGATGTTTAGGATTTGTCCTTGGAAGAAAAGACAACAAATCCTTAGCAAACAAGTTAGCTTTGGATGATGACGCCTTTCAGAAAATGACCTCGGAAATTTGAAAGTTAGTTTTTTTTTTATTGTTTTCCTAAATTGGACTGAAATGATTCCCACATGATTCAGAACACCTCGGCGAGTAAAAACTCGGAATTAAACATCCAGTCACTCAAGATGTGAGGAAAGGAGCCGCCTCTTTGTAAGAAAGCTGCAAGAAATGTAAACAAACTGCTCTTTTTCTGCTCAAATCCACCGAGAGCTGCTCAAATCTGCTTGGATTTATGTTATTTTTAAGGAAACCTTCAACGCAGATGGTAATTCACACTTCAGCTGCAAACTGTGCGGACTCCTTCAGCTTTCAATTCTCTTTTAAACATTTACCACCAACTTCCATCAAATCGATCATGAACGATGTGTTCGAGACGATGTTGATCCTTTATAGGGACTAAGCATGAACAACTGGTCTATCAAGGCTTTTTCATTTTATTACACAATGTCTTATAAAGTGAAGTTTTATATGAAAATAAATATTTCTCAATGATGAATCCAGCTAGTCCAGGTCAGCAGGGGGCAGACCTGCTCGCTTTAATCCCAGCTAGAGGCTTTTCAGCCACCAAATAGCAGCAAACATCAGAGACAGTGGACAAGAGCTTCAACACAGGTCAGCTGATAAAGTAAATAGTTGATTTTTTTATGTGCAGGAGCATGCATGTGTTAGAGCAACCATAAATCTATTTGCAATCAAAACTTAACATCTAAATTGGAAAAAAGAATGAATCTTGCATCTTTAGTGTCTTACACAACGTTTTTTTCATCCAACAAAACTGCAGACAAACACACAAGTTCTCCATCCATCAGCTGGCCAGCCCGATTTATGATGAACAGCCTCTCCTTTCATCCGAAGGGTTAGGATCTCAGCTGATCTGGCCTGGAGAGCTGCGTTCTCTAAACCCACCGTAAACACCGCTGCGGTGGAGAGTCAGGGGTGGCGGAGCGTCGGCTCGACATGAACGTCTGTCCTTACCAGCTCGTCTGCTCACAGCCATCCTCTTCACAAGATTAAAGCACCATGAGCCATCAGAAAGTTTCAATAACTGATAAAAAAAACAGGCACGTACTAGTTGCCTAATTGTAAAAAGAAGGTGTTGGAAATAGTTTTCTAAAAATAAATTGGCTTTGATATTTTCAGCCTCCTGGAATTTATTTATACATTTATTTTATTTCCTAAAGTTTCAACAGAATAAAACAACAAACATTAATGCTGCTGCTCTGTAAACATTTGTACATACTACTGTTGATTTAACATTTATATTATTATCGTATTACTGTTTGTATTCTTTTACATTTTGCAGCAAAGAGAGTGGCACTCCAGTTTGATTGAAACCTATACAATGACAATAAAGGCTATTCTATTCAATTTTATTCTATTCTATTCTATTCTATTCAAATACTCTCCTCCAGACCACTAGGAGGAGCTGCATACTGTAGTTTGTAGATTATACACTGACACTTCATTTCACGACTGTAATGACGGATGAAGACGCTCCTGTCTACTACAGATGAGCAGATTCTGATGTCTGGAAGAGCCTCCAACTAAACAACAAGTGTTCCTTATAGCTCTGCAGGGTTCTTTTAGATCGCCGCAAGAGAACAGCTGTAGCCTGAAGAAAGACAGAACACTAGTAAAGCCATGGCATCGTGTTTGAAAGCACAGCAGTGTTGCATTTTCTAAACCCGACTCTTCTTCACCCGTGTCGAGTGACGGTGTCGTTTAAAATGGCATTTATCAGTTATCTTGTTGTAAGCGTCACATTACCCATTACCCAAACTGAACATATCCAACGCCTAAAGAAACATCGGAGGGTCTAGTTTAACTGTTTAATCTAGAATGTGTCCGTTTTATTTAAAAAAGGGGGTGGGGCATAAAAGGTGTACCAGCCAATGGGTGCTTCAACTTCTAATTTCTGCTCAGAATTGCCAACTTAGCAACGTTTTCAGCATGTTTAGCAAACACACTCAGCCTTCTGTGACTTGTTCTCGTGTAATTTGAGATCATCTGAGAGCAACATGCAAGCACGTGTTACAAAGCAGGATACGCTAACTCTTTACATCAGGACAGAAGATAAACATTGAATTAATCTTGATTTGACTTAAAGCCATTTTCTCATTTTTTTCCCACATATTGTCTAATTTTCTTGTTTTTTTTTTCAATTATCAAAGGGGACATATTTAGCAAAACTCACGTTTTTCATTCCTTTGTGCTTCCATGTGGGACTCTGTCTCCATAAACACTTCAAATGTGAAAAAAACCATCCATCCATTTTGTCCATGTTTGCTTTTAGGAAATACTGTATGTGCCTAAAACAAGCCCTTTCAAAAAGTCCCCGATTGTGATGTCACAAGCAGGGAAAATTAGAACAGAACTCCCTCTCACTTGGAAGAGAACTGCTATTGGAGGAGGAGAGGTTCTACTCTGAGGCCCTCCTTGGATACCAGAGCTTCTTAGCTCATAGCAGCCTGAGCAGAGGATGGGTGGGCGTGGCCAGCTCCAGCTTGTTTTCGTGAAGTGACAGAGCCCTTAAACGGCTCATTCTGGAAGGCACAGAAACTGTCAAGAATATAACTGATTAAATGGATTAATGTGAGAGGGATTTCTTGTAAAGGACGTCATAAACATGTTTGACATCAACCACAGAACTATTAAACCTTAAGAAAAAAAGACATAATAGATCCCCTTTAATGTAGACTGTGCACAAAAAGGAAGATGTTTATTTTTCTAGCTACTCCTACAAGTTTTACATATTTCAAAATAAAATACCGACCCTCTTTCAACAGAGAAAATGTCAGAAACAATATTTTTCCCATAACTAATCAAATGCCACAGCCTCACTGATTACATTTGCACTTACAGAAGTTAACAGTCGCCCCAGCTGGTTTCATTCAAGGAAATCTTTTCAGCTTTCTCCAAGAGAGGTTTGACCTTGGTATATTAAAGGAGTCGTGATGGGATTCACAGCAGGAGCAGAGGGGACGGCGAGGGTGAGAACGAGTCAGAACTTATGAATTTATCCTGCGGTGTCACATTTCTCTGCTGCAAGACCATTTCTCTCTGAGAGGACCATCATAAAGCGCCGGATTTAGTCCCCAGCTTCACAGAAGGACGATCAATCCGGCCATTACTCATGATAGTTGGGTCTGCTTCATGATGAGAGAACCCAATTTCCAACCGTGGTGGTTCTACAGACCCGGACATCTCCGAGATACTAAGAAAGTGGTACTTCTGATTGATTTAAAAGCCTCTTTCTGGGTACTTGCAGAATAGGCTTCAGCTTTAGATTTAAAGCCTTTTAGTGCATTTGTTGTGTGCGTGTGTGTGTGTGTGTGTGCGTGTGTGTGTGCGTGTGTGTGTGTGTGTGTGTGTGTGAGCGTGTGCGTGTGCGTGTGCGTGTGTGCGTGTGTGTGTGTGCGTGTGTGAGCGTGTGCGTGTGCGTGTGTGTGTGTGTGTGTGCGTGCGTGCACGTGCGTGCGTGTGTGTGTGTGTTTTGCTGGGGGGCCTGTTGTGACTGACAGGTGGAGATTGAAGGTGGTGGAGCCTGACGCTGTTGGAGTTAAAATTAAATGGCCAAATTAATAGGTGCTGTCACTTCCTGCTGCAAACCACAAACTCGCCTCAACGCCAAACCGACTGAAACACCTTCCGCTGATCGACACCTCCCATCTGCTCTGTGCCACACCGGACGGTCAAACGGGGGGTTATTCTCACGGAGCATTATGGAGGAGAAACAAATGTCAGAAATGTCAAATAAGATGTTTTGACTGACAATATTTGTGCTCATTCTGCAGTTTTTATGATGAGTCTGTAAATAAGCTGCTGACTTCTCCCTGCAAAGCAACATGAGGCGTAGCAAAGCGAGTCAAAATCCGGTTGGAAATGGTGGGAGATAAAGTCCATGGGAAATTCAGAGAGATGGCTGGAGCAGGGGACAGCCAGGAGCAAGCACGAGCCGGAAAAGTGTCTGAAAACATCCGGCTCCTGGAAAAAAGTCTGATGCACAAAGGTAGCTCCAACATGTAAGGCTGGAAAGGGAGGAAATAAATAAATGCTTCTCGGTTATCTCCAGCTCTTCTGTTGACTTGGATTTCATTTCCCGGACAGGACCAGCAGAATAATTTCCCGTACGGTGGAGATGGTGGTCCAAGAAGAAGAACTCTGTTTGCTGAGGGCTGATTTGTCATCCTGGCAGCTCAGCAATAGCCCAACAAATTTAGCAGCAGCAGGGATGGAGAAAGTGTGAAATCCTGAGTTGAAAATGACTCTCCGCTGTGTGAAGATGATAAATGTTCTGGGTGTTGACCACGGGACCATCTCAGATGTTTCTGTGCAACGGTTTGTAGATGACTCAGTCAGAATGCAGACGTCCGTTCGCCATCTTCATATCCCATCCCAGTTTTACCCCAAGCATCTTTGGATAGTTTAAATGGTTTTTAGACGTCTTATGAATAAAATTGCTCACTAAGAACTAACGTCTGTTTACCAATGAGCTGCTGATAGTAGGTAGTTAACAGTAAAACAATATTTACCATGTTAAACAATTTCATTTATTTATATATTTGTTTGTTTATTTATTTATTTATTTTTTTAAATATTTGATTATTTAAGAATTTTTTATTATTTTTATAATTAATTATTTTTTATAATTTATTTATTTGTTTAATTATTTATTTATTATTATTTTCTTATATTTTATTTATTTATTTTATTTATTATTTATTTATTTATTTATTTATTTGTTTTTTGTCTGATTACATTTCAGAGTTACCTGAAACATTAATTTTAAAAATGACAAACATCACAGAAAGAATTGGATAAAATATTCGGATTTGATTATGAAAAATGTAAAAACTTTGTTTCATCGTTTTATATGGTTTATTTCTTGTTATTGTTCTTAATTGCCATTCAGATTTTTAAAAATGCAATTTTTTTAAGATAAATTCATTAATGTTCATGGTTTTCTTGCAGAACTATAAAGTTCCTATATAATTTTTACAAAATTAAACCCTTTTTTAAAGGAAGTATTAAAATACTGAAACGGCATTGTGCATCACTTAGCATGCTCATCACGCATCTCCTCTCTTTAGTTAATTGCTTCTCTCCCTTTTTAGTTTCTTTTACTTTGTTATTATTTGTAACAATTTATCCTTTCATCCCCTAGACCGGCATTTCACTGGGCTGAAACTGTTGTTCAGAAACAAAACTTGGTATAAAAGACAAAATTATTCAGCTAGAATCACTAATTTATGCATGTTCATGTTCATGTCACGAGTCAGACGTCAGAGTCATACGGCATGCATTTATATGTTTATATATGTTTATGTGCTTAGCAGACGCTTTTACCCAAAGCGACTTACAATTTTTCTTTTTTTACCTATAGGGCATGTTGTGATCTGTGGGGGAAACCGGAGTACCCGGAGAAAACCTACGCATGCATGGGGAGAACACGCAACTCCACGCAGAAAGGCCGCAGCCGAGTTTCGAACCTGCGACCTTCGTGTTGCGAGGCAACAGTGCTAACAACTGCGCCACCATGCAGCCCAAAGGGGTGTCCCACTTCCAGTTAGAGGGATACTAAACAACTTTTTCAAATTTTTTGAGCCATTATGTGCAAAAATGACCCTTTATAGGGTTAATGACTGGGTTACTCAGGTTAATCAGACCCCTACCACTCCCTGTGGCCATGATACCGCGCTTGCAACTTCAGTGTGGTGGCCATCTGTTAGACTTTGAGCTGACATACCTGGTGCTGGAGTCTGCTTCCAGCAAATTTCCTGCATATTTCAGATCATGAATACAGCTGATTCATTTCATTTAGTGATGAACCGCTCCTGTAGACACTAAGGAAGGCTGAGGAGGCATTTCAGCTGTTAGATTGAGGTGTTAAAAAGACGAACGCACCGCGAGGAGATAAGCTTCATTGACGGTTTGACCACATATAATTAATAAGGGACAGTAGGGGGTGCTAAAAGCAAGCAAAACTGCGTAGTATCGCTTTTAACCTTAAAATCTGTGTATAGTTTCAGATTCAACTATCTGATGCAACATTTCAATATCAAACAAACTCACAACATAGTTTCCTCTAATCAACTCATTCGCTGCCAGCCGTTTCCTGATCGGTAAAACCCCTCGCTGCCAGCGTTTCTCACCGTTTTTACTGTTTTTTTAAGAGTGACAGAGCGTTGCGCGCTTACATGATGTCGACGCCAAAACAACCAAAACAAAGCGGAGACTCACCTCTTACATCAGGAAGAATCCGCGCGTTTCGAGCGTTATCCATGCTTTCATAATCCGTTGCTGAATTGTGATCGGCAGAAGCTTTCCCAGTTCGCACCTCACTTTTTTTACAGCAGCGGCCCAAAACGATCTCCTAACACATGGATTTTCTGCTTCCTGATCATGTGACGTGTGACGTACGCGGATGAAGATCGGCTTTAGAGCTGAGGTGTTTGTTCTCTCGGTGCGGGGGCTCGTCCGACGCCCACACAGTAAAAAAACGCAAGTGACGACTTTAGTCGTCATTGGCAGTGAACGAGTTAAAATGCTTTAAAGCTGCATCTGTGGCTTCATTTAGAATAGTTTAATACAGGGAGAGTTCACCTCCATCGCTAATTACAGCTTGTTCCTCCTCCTTTTGCTTCAGCAACACATTCCACGTGTTTGTTCGTCCCTTCCGACTAGTGAGCTTGCAGGAAGAATAACTGAGGCCTGAGCAGACACAAACAAACGATGGACGACTAAAAGGAGGATAAATGATAGAAAAACAACAAGATGTATTTGAACGAAGGATAAAAAGACCAGAGAAATGTGTCTCTTGGTGACTGCTGGTGTTTAAAGTTGCCACGCGTGTTCACACATAAATCTCCAATCCATAACTGCAAGAAAAGAGCAGCTTTGTTACCAGCACACAGTAATTACCAGATGGCTTTTTAGGTTTTTTATTTTTGGTGGATTTCAGCTTCAGATTTGGCTTAAAGCCAAGCGAGCTGGCCAGAATGCATTAACCACGACTTGAACAAGCACCAAACAATCAATACATTCAATTTCAAACTGGGCGTTTGCCCAACAACTTGGTGTTCGACGGATTCCCAACTCCGAAATTGAAAACTTTTTTTTTTGAACGACTGAACAAAATCGTGCAGAAAACCGACAGATTTAATGCAATTATTGATTTATTTGAGGAGAAGTGGGATTTAAATGTCACGAAGGAGGAGGGAGAATCACTTATTCATAATTCAGCCTTTAGCTGTGAGTTGCAGTCAATCATCTGTCATTTCAAAAAGAATCAATACAGAATCTCACCCATAACTTTTCACCCGTCCGTTTTCACAGAACTAATCTGCAAACCGATGGCATTTGTGTTTTCATCAAGATGTCATTAAAACCGGTTTCTACGCTCCGCTGCACACTTTATCCTCCATCTCTTTCCTGGTCGTGAAGCATTTCTGCTGTTTAAGGTGAAGGATTCACTTCATGAGCTGGGAAGCTTTTTCACTCTGCACACCGACTGGAATTAAGATGCATTAGCGAGGGAATGGGACGTCTTGTCACAGCGTGGATTCCCTGAGGAGGTTTGAGGAGAACGTGAGAGCTTCGTACTGAAATGCCTCTGAAACGGGCCCGGCAGCTTTCCGTCGGGCTGTAAGTCAGCTGATCTGGGAAGAACGGAGACAAATGGGTCCGTTACTGAAATCCAACAAACTACATTTTACAAAATTATTTTACATTTCCCATCTAAATGATGCTGTTGGGTGGCAACCGAGTAGAGATTCGATTATTGCTGTTTAATGAGGGGAAGTAAAAGGCTCATCAATGTTTTCTGTAAGGAACCTGAAGTTTAAAGTGCAACGTTTATGTCTCGTCTAATCGTGTCATGTGGAAAACAGGGAAATTAGAAACTGCATCTACTAATCGGACTTTTACGCTCTGCACTTAAAGGGACTTTACGGAGTTTTGAATTGTTATGCTCGCGATTGCCCCCTCAGGCCAAAAGCGTAACGGCAGTTTCAATTGTAGGCTCGTGCACGAGGCACGCATGCTGTACGTGCACAGTCCTTAACGAAAATAACAGCTGAGACAGTCAGCTCCGTGTGTGTGTGTGTGTGTGTGTGTGTGTGTGTGTGTGTGTGTGTGTGTGTGTGTGTGTGTGTGTGTGTGTGTGTGTGGCCCGGAGGACAGAGGACAGGAGAACGTGCAGCTAATTAATTAAATAATGTGGTTCTGTACCTTTCTCTTCAGCACA